CTGCACCTTGTTGTCTTGGATATGGTAGAGGCCAGTTGAAGTTAAATAACAAAAGATTTCAGCATGCAACAGCCAAAGAGAGTGGTCACAGATGTGGTGAAGAAACAATGGTTGTGTCTAAATGAGGCAACGAGAAGGGATTAGAAAAGATAGACCAATTCAGCAAAACAATAAAAGTGCATCTCTAGCCAATGCACATGAGCAGTAAGTCAAGTATTGTTAATGCCATCACTGTGTAGCCATTCCACCGTGGAACAGAAACTGGAATTGGTAGTGTGTCTGTTAATGCTGCCTCTCCCTCAGTGCCCCACAAGCCGCACCTTCCCCCCTGAAAACTGTCCAGCTCACCGCTTCTGTACTCAGGCACTGAGTACAGTATGAAGCCATTATCCACGTCCTGCAGAACTGCAGTGATGGCACAGGCACTGGAACTGCCTGGGAGGGCAACCTCTGCTGTTGCGGTGCCAACAAATGCAACCAAAATAGAAAGGGAAATAGAAACAAAAGCACAGAACAAATTGGGGACAGAGTTTATGATCTAAAGTTGTTAAACTCGATGTTGAGTCCAGAAAACCATCGGGTGCTGTTTCGAGTTTGTGTTGAACTGCATCGGAACAGTGCAGCAGACTGAAGATAGAAAGGTCAGCATGGAGCAAGGTGAACAATAGGTTCAAATTCCATCACAGTGGCTGGAGCAACATAAATCCAATTAATAAATCTTGAATTAAAAAGGTAGGCTCAGAGCTGGTGACCTTGAAACCTCTGTTAATGGTTGTAAAAGCCAGTCTTGTTCACTAATGTCCTTTGGGGAAGGAAATCTACCATTCTTACCTGGTCTGGCCTACGTAAGCCTCTAGACCTACCGCAATGTGGATTGACTTTTAAATGCCCTCTGAAATAAGCCTAGCAATATTCTCAAACTGTTTCAGAAGAGAACCCAGTCAGACCACCTTCCAATGACCTAGGCACTGGAAGTGACAACAGCTCAGCCAGCCCTGCTAATGTGGTTAAGCCTGCCTCACTAACATCTAGGGCCATGTACCAACATTGGCTGCAGGAGTTCCTCAGAATAAAAACCTAGATCAAATCTCAGCTGCCTCAGCAATGA